TTTATCACCACTCCACCAACGCCCAGTCAAAGTTTGGCACCGCTAGACGCAAGTTCGTGGACGCTTGAATCCGCTAGACCAACGCAAAAATCTTAAACGCTGGACCACCGCTGCTTTGCCAGCGTTGCCCGGGCGGCGATTAAACGTTGCACAAACGTCGGTGGAGCGGTTGTTAGCGTTTTATCAGCGTACATGGGGTTGTTGGAACGGTGTCGGACATTGTCGCAGCGTTCCATGGCGGCGATGAACTTTGCTTTGGCGTTGGTATAGAGGTGTCGGAGCGAGACCACAATTTGGCTATAAATATGTGGAGAAATGCACCACTGTGTAGAACACTGTGGAGACACTTGTGCATTTTACATTTGATATATATTCATGTCTGGCATTTCAATTTTTTGCATTGTAAATTCCTAAATTAAGCGCTCAAAGTTTGTAATTTTGGATTTTAAAAAGGTGAATTATGCGATTTTTGTTTTTCATTAAATGTTAATACAAATAGACTTTTACTGAGACCTTTATTCAAATAAAGTATATACCTAGTGTTTTCACGTCAAGCAATTCAATAAATTATCTGTGAAATTTCTGCGCAGCTTGTAAAATGTTGCACTCGTCATGGTATTATAAAAAAAGTTGATGTGCGCACAGCAATGCAAAAATTTGTCATGCGTCATGATTATTACTTTGCTGTAAATGTTATTTGACATTGTTAAAGCAATTTGAACGTAAATCGGTTCCAAGTAATGGAAATGCAACGATTAAATTGTGATATGTTTGTTTGAAATGATATGAGAGATTATTAAAGAAAATTGTAATGTTATTCATTCTTAATGTCATATTACATTAATAGAAGCACTTTAGATTCAAAACATTTCTTCTTTAATCCTTGAAGGACTTTTGTTAAAGTTACAAATTCCAAGGTCTTTACTCTTAAACACTTCCCACTTGAAATAATTTCCCAGTAGTCAAACGTGATATGCTGCTAAACCAACGCTGCTGCTATTTATACCCCCGCCGAGGCAACGCTCTCATGCGCAGAACGCCGCTATACCAACGCTCGCATTACCGCTAAACAAACGCTAGCTACTGCTCGCAACCGTTTAACCAACGCTAAAGCAACGCCGGCTTCAGCGGTACACTGCTAAGCCAACGCCCGTGTTTTTGTTTTTTTTCCCCATTTTGTGCGTGTTGACGAGCGTTGATGAATTTTTTCAACGTTCAAGGAACGCTCCAGCAATGTCCGGGCGGTGTGACCGGGAATTAACTATTATTTTTGACCAATCAAGATAAGAGATACTGATATTTTAAGAATCAATCAGAAAGTATTTTTTATACATTGTGTGAAAATTTCATGAGAAAATATCAAAAATCCTTGGAGAGCATTTTTCCGTGAACTTATTGAACGACCTGGTATTAGCAGACCAAACATTCAGAGGTATTATGTATGTATACTTTGGCCAAATGGAGAAAATTTCAAAGAATTTCGTAAATATGGTAATTGGTAGAAAGGATTGAATAGAACAACTCATAAAATCATGAGTGTGACTTTTTACCATAAATTGACGTCATAAATTTGAAAAATCCTATACCCAGCAATATGGTCAAGAATCTTCTGAGACATGAAGTTAAATTGTTAGTTACATTTAGATGAATACACAATTTTAAAAAGTTTTCAATCCAATAAAACTTTGTAAAAATTACAACCATTTTGTTATAAAATCTGAGGTAATATCCTTCAGATTCAGAGGTCTCTTCTCAGTTCAAAATTAGGGGTATGGGTAACATATATAACAATAAACTGGAAATTGTAAGATAATTATTACCCTTAATCATTCTTAATGACCCATAAATATGCTATACATCTATAGCGTCATAAATGCTTCATTATTAGTTTGTTATAAATTCCCTTATACGAATATCAATGTAACATTTACAAATAAAATGCCTAAATTACAAATACATATATGATGTGTCAAATAGACAAATAGATCCTAAAATCTATAGGGTCATAACTGCTTCATTATTCGTTTGGAATAAATTCCCTTATACGAATATTAATGTAACATTTACAAATAAAATTCCCAAATTACAAATACAAATATGATGTATCAAATAAACAAACAGATACTAAATTTGGGTGTATTTTATGTTTGTAAAGGACTAGAAATATTTGAAACTAAGAATTTATTATTCGCCAACTACAGCTTACAATTCGTAAATTTAACCAAAATTGCCTGTTATTTTATAGAAGATCTGTATTTTTACCGATAATGATCTTGCATATTACCCATGAATTGTTGCAGAAAGCAAAGGAATATTCCTACATTAGCGAATGATAAAATGAAACTTTACGAATATAAATGTGAGTTTACGAATACAAATGTGAATTAACGAATATAAACTGCAAGTCTCGAGGCAAAGGTCACGTGACATGACATGTGTGGGGGAGGGGGCGATGACTTTGACCATGGGTTGACCATGTCTCGTTGAGAATGATCACGTGATCTTAATAAACCAATGAAAAACGAATATAAAAATGCAATTTACGAATACAAATGACAATATTTACGAACAATAAATGTGCACTTTTATGAAAACATATTACCTTGTTACGAAAATAAATTCGACAATTAAAAAATAAAAATGCCAAGACTAGTACTTATTCATTGATAAATTCGACATTCAGTTCTTAAATATCAAATTAATATATTTGCAGAAACAATGATAAAGGTACAAAATGAACTCATTTCATTTGTATACGGATAAACAATGTGTCACTAACAAATGCGTTTAAGGACTTTTGAATGTATTTCAGTATAAAACACATACATATACGTTTTTACAAACAAAATAGATTAACGAACAGAAAAGGCAAACAATGAATGAAAATAAATGTGAATTACGAACATAAATATGCATTTAACAAGTACAGAAGTTCAATTTACGAATTCATATAATAAAATACGAATAATGAAGCAGAAAATATTCCATAAAAATTGGGTGCATTTTATATTTGTAAGGATTAGAAACATTTGTAAAACGAACTATTTATTATTCGCAAACTGAAGATAAGAATTCGTAAATTTCAAAAAAGTTGCCTGTTATTTTATAGAAGATCTGTATTTTTACCGATAATGATCTTGCATATTACCCATAAATTATTGCAGAAAGCAAGAAATATTCGTACATTAGCGAATAATAAAATGAAAATTTACGAATGTAAATGTGAGTTTACGAATACAAATGTGAGTTAACGAATATAAAATGCTAGTATCCAGGCATAGGTCACGTGACACAAGAGTTTTAGGTGTGTGTGGGGAGGGGTGATGACTTTGACCATGGGTTGACCATGTCTCGTTGAGAATGATCATGTGATCTCAATGAACCAATGAAAAACGTATATATAAGTGCAATTTACGAATACAAATGACAATATTTACGAACAATAAATGTGCACGTTTACGAAAACATTTTACCTTGTTACGAAAATAAATTTGACAATTAAAGAATAAAATGCCAAAGCTAGTACTTATGTAATGACCTGAGGGCGCCCCAGGGGAGTGACTAACTAACGAACATAGTGTAAGAAGACAGATAAAGAAATTGAAAGAAAGTGTGCTAAATTCAATGCCCCATGTGGGAATCGAACCCAGGACCCTTGGATCCAAAGACTGATGCTCTGCCGACTGAGCTATAAAGGCTTAAGCCACTACAGCTGGGCCGTAGTAGCAACTTGTTATCAAGGGTCGTTACACTTATTCATTGATAAATTTGACATTCAGTTCGTAGATATCAAACTAATATATTTGCAGAAACAATGATAAATGTACAAAATGAACTCAAATTTATTTGTATACAGATATACAATGTGTCACTTACAAATGCTTATAAGGAATTTTGAATATATTTCAGCATAAAACACGTACATATACGTTTTTAACGAAACAACAGATTCACGAACAGAAAATACAAACAATGAATGAAAATACTAAAGTTATGAACATAAATGTGCATTCAACATATGCAGGAGTTCAATTTACGAATACATATTGTAAAATACGAATAATGAAGCAGAAATCATTCCATATACATCCTATACTTAGCTTATGCATACCAAAATTTATGTCAGATGTGATATATAAATGTGTTTATTGAACAAAATGGTTACATCCTATCCCTAATTTCACTGCTATTTGAGGCAAAAATTGTCCAAAAATCATGTTTTAGGGTTTTGGCACTTTTATAATTTTCTGTCAGTGTGTCATTGTTTATTTTAAACCTGGGACAGGCTTAACAATGGTAGGAAAAATATAACATATAGAAAATGATATCCTAGGCTTAGAAGAAAATGTATTACATTGTATAATAGCAAATTGTAATTTATGACATAATTTGATGGAAAAGGTCACATTGGTGAGTTTGCGAGACAATGTATTTAACCATTGCTAACTTCTTTAAATTTTCATCTAATTTTTATTCACAATATTTATGCCATGTGCCTCCAAGAGTTTAGTTATATCATACAAAGTTTATAAAATGTTATGACTGATAAAGGACCATGCATCTTTTTTCTCTACAGAGGGTATACTTATACATAAACAATAATCAACATCTAAATTGCCTATTGCACCATTTTCCAAACAAATATTTCATAAAATATCTCTCTACATGAGGCATATTTTTTCTTTAAATAAGGAAGTAGCAGTAAACAAAATGGCGGAGGCTTCAATTACATTAGACTCTGAACTGACTGATGAAGAAGACAAGCTTGGAAAAGAACTATGTGATTTAAGAAAAAGGGAAATCAGAGATAATGAGAAGGAAGGAGAAAAAATGATCCAATTGGGGAATCTTTACAAGGGAAGATGTTCTAATAACTTCAGCAAGCATGAACATTATGTTAATGCGATGGCACTGTATAATGGGGCTATGGCATGCTTCAAACTGGCTAAGGAAAAATGGTGTCAGGATGTTGAACAATACCAACAGCAGATTCCAATGCTATGTGATGAAGTCGAGAAAATGTACATGGAGAATATACTTGGCAAGTTACCAACCACCCATGATGCCTCTGCTGGTATTGAGAAAGATATGTCACAGCTGAACACCAATACAAAGGTCGAGAGAAATTACAATGAAGCGCTGAATTCATACAGATCTAGACTTAAAGCAAATATGAAGGATGCAGTAGATTTAATGATGAAGTGGCCAAAGGCTGACAATGGTCCAAATCCAGAGTATGAGGAAAGCCTAAACCAAATGATAAAATCTATATGTGGGGACAACACAAGTTTCATGAAAGAATTCATTGCTGAATTAATGGAGCAAAGCATAGCTGTATGTGGACCTCCACCCTGTAAATTCACAATGGTGGGACTGGGGTCTCTTGCAAGAGGTGAAAGCACCCCCTACTCTGATCTAGAGTATCTCTTCCTTACAGAAAATAATAACCATGAGGAATATTTCCTCAACCTCCACTTCTACTTTCAAATAAAAGTGCTCAACTTGGGAGAAACCCCTCTTCCTGTATTGGGAATTAAGGGGTCAAATGACTTCTACACAGAAAAAGAAAAATTGTCACATGTATTTTATGATGATACAACACCTAGCAGGTTCAAGTTAGATGGCAACAGGCCATGGGCATCTAAATTACCACCTGGTCATGAGGGAACGGAGAAAAAAGATCCAATCAAACTAACTGGAACACCAAAGTACGTGGCTGAGCTTAGCACAAACGAATCTAATGAGAAAAATGGTTATCACCTGGCAACTATCATCTCCACAGCAACCAACATAATGGGTGATGAGGGATTGTTTGAGGAATTCAGAATCCAACTAGCTAGGGTCAAAAAACATGAGAAATCTGACACATTGTTTAAAACCTGTATTGAACTTATGGAGAAAGACCGTCATAAACATAAATATAGAACGAGTCTTAGCTTCATTTATGCTAGAAATGCTGAACTAGACTACTACAGGTTTCCTTCAATCTTGATCAATAATCTCAAAGATCTCTTTCAAATTGATAAAACATCTCCATGGGATATCATTGCTGAATTAGAAAAATTCATTAGGAAGGAAAACTGTTCCCACTTATTACTGATGATCAATTTTGTCATTGCAGTTAGGCTGTACACATACTGCCTGAAGAATCAGTTATCTAAAGCACAAACAGGGGATGTTTTGATGGACACTTCAGCTTCCTTTAGTGATGTCATTTCAATTCCATTCACAAACTTATTACAGCACTACTTCATCAGACTCAAAAGCTGTTCCAAGTATGTCCCTGCAAGACTAAGAGATGCAACCAACATGAGTCCCAGTCATGTTAAACAGCTGTTGCAAGAATGTCAAATGTACTGTGGATGTAAGTGCTGCCTCTTGCAAGCAAAGTTCTTAACAAGCTTCCAGGCTGATGATGTAATTGATGGAGTAGATGTAGTCCTGAGATCTGCTGAAGAATCATGGCACCAACAAATAGAACCTGTTGATAGAGATACAATATTTGCATATGTCAGCATATGCCACATTGAAAGACAGGATTATCATTCTAGGCTGAAGCTCTACCAGGATGAGCTCTATTTCAACCAACATATCACCAGCAGTAAAAAAGCAGAGTATTTAAATAAAATAGCTGAATGTCACATGGATCTGAAAGACTACCCAGCAGCACTAAGATCCATAAAGGAAGCTGTAAAGGTGTCTCCACCCAGTAAAAAAGCAAAGTATTTAAGGAGCAAGGCAAAATTTCACAAGAAATTGGAAGACTACTCAGCAGCACTAAAATCCATAGATAAAGCTGTAATGGTATCTCCATCGAGTGAAAAAGCAAACTATCTAAATTACAAAACTGACTGCTACATGGAGCTGAAAGACTACCCGGCAGCACTTAGATCCATAGAGGAAGCTGTAAATGTGTCTCTACCCAGGGAAAAGGCAAAGTATTTAAGTTACAAAGCTGACTGTCACGTAGAGATGGAAGATTACCCAGCAGGACTAAGGTCTATAGAGGAAGCTTTAAAGGTGTCTCCACCAAATGAAAAGGCAAAGTATTTAAATTACAAAGCTGTCTGCCACATGGAGATGAAAGACTACCTAGCAGGACTAAAGTCTATAGAGGAAGCTTTAAAGGTGTCTCAACCAAGTGAAAAGGCAAAGTATTTAAATTTCAAAGCTGACATTCACATGAAATTGGAAGACTACCCAGCAGCACTAAGATCTATGGAGGAAGCTTTAAAGGTGTCTCCACCCAGTGAAAAGGAAAAGTATTTAGAGAACAAAGCTGACATTCACATGAAATTGAAAGACTACCCAGCAACACTAAGATCTTTAGACGAAGCTTTAAATGTGTTTCCACCAAGTGAAAAGGCAAAGTATTTAAATTACAAAGCTGACTGCCACATGGAGATGGAAGATTACCCAGTAGCACTAAGATTTATAGAGGAAGCTGTAAATGTGTCTCCACCCAGTAAAAAAGCAAAGTATTTAAAGAACAAGGCTAAATTTCACATGAAATTGGAAGACTACTCAGCAGCACTTAGATCCATAGAGGAAGCTATAAAGGTGGCTCCACCCAGTGAAAAAGCAAAGTATTTAAATTACAAAGCTGACTGCCACATGGAGTTGGAAAACTACCCAGCAGGACTAAGGTCTATAGAGGAAGCTATAAATGTGTCTCCACCCAGTGAAAAAGCAAAGAATTTAAAGGAAAAAGCTGACATTCACATGAAATTGAAAGATTACCAAGCAGGACTAAGGTCTATAGATGAAGCTATAAAGGTGGCTCCACCCAATGAAAAAGCTAAGTTTTTAAAGGACAAAGCTGACATTCACATGAAATTGGAAGATTACCCAGCAGGGCTAAGGTCTATAGAGGAAGCTATAAAGGTTGCTCCACCCAGTGAAAAAGCAAAGTATTTAAATTACAAAGCTGACTGCCACATGGAGATGGAAGACTACCCAGCAGCACTAAGATCTATAGAGGAAGCTTTAAAGGTGTCTCCACCCAGTGAAAAACCAAAGTGTTTAAAGTTCAAAGCTGACTGTCACATGGAGATGGAAGACTACCCAGCAGCACTTAGATCCATAGAGGAAGCTATAAAGGTGGCTCCACCCTGTAAAAAACCAAAGTATTTAAAGAACAAAGCTGACATTCTCATGAAATTGGAAGACTACCCAGCAACACTTAGATCCATAGAGGAAGCTGTAAATGCGTCTCCACCCAGTGAAAAAGCAAAGTATTTAAAGAACAAAGCTGACATTCACATGAAATTGGAAGACTACCCGGCAGCACTTAGATCCATAGAGGAAGCTGTAAATGTGTCTCTACCCAGTGAAAAAGCAAAGTATTTAAATATCAAAGGTGGCATTCATAAGCAGCAGCAGCAAGACTAGCCAGCAACATTAAGATCTATAAAGGAAGCTTTAAATGTGTCTCCATCCAGTGAAAAGGTAAAGTATTTAAATTACAAACCTGACATTCACATGAAATTGAAAGACTACCGAGCAGCACTAAGATCTATAGAGGAAGCTTGAATGTGCCTCCACCCAGTGAAAAGGCAGAGTATTTAAAGAACAAAGCTTACATTCACATGGAATTGGAAGACTACCCAGCAACACTAAGATCCATTGATGAAGCTTTAATGTGCCTCCACCCAGTGAAAAGGCAGAGTATTTAAAGAACAAAGCTTACATTCACATGAAATTGGAAGACTACCTAGCAGCACTAAGATCTATAGAAGAAGCTTTAAATGTGTCTCCACCCAGTGAAAAGGCAAAGTATTTAAAGAGGAAAGCTGACATTCAACTGCAAGACTACCCAGCAGCACTAAGATATATAGAAGAAGCTTTAAATGTGTCTCCAGCCAGTGAAAAGGCAGAGTATTTAAAGAACAAAGCTTACATTCACATGGAATTGGAAGACTACCCAGCAACACTAAGATCCATTGATGAAGCTTTAATTTGCCCCCACCCAGTGAAAAGGCAGAGTATTTAAAGGACAAAGCTTACATTCACATGAAATTGGAAGATTACCCAGCAGCACTAAGATCTATAGAGGAAGCTTTAATGTGCCTCCACCCAGTGAAAAGGCAGAGTATTTAAAGAAAAAAGCTGACATTCACATGAAATTGGAAGACTACCCAGCAACACTAAGATCTATAGAAGAAACTTTAATGTGCCTCCACCCAGTGAAAAGGCAGAGTATTTAAAGAAAAAAGCTTACATTCACATGATTTTGAAGACTACCCAGCAGCACTAAGATCTAAAGAAGAAGCTTTAAATGTGTCTCCACCCAGTGAAAAGGCAAAGTATTTAAAGAGGAAAGCTGACATTCACATTCAACTGCAAGACTACCCAGCAGCACTAAGATATATAGAAGAAGCTTTAAATGTGTCTCCAGCCAGTGAAAAGGCAGAGTATTTAAAGAATAAAGCTTACATTCACATGAAATTGGAAGACTACCCAGCAACACTAAGATCCATAGAGGAAGCTTTAATGTGCCTCCACCCAGTGAAAAGGCAGAGTATTTAAAGAACAAGGCACAGGACATGAACGAGATCACACCATCAAATAGGCAGACACTATGAACCAGGAAAACTGTTCTCCTATTATGTTTACAAATTTCAAGAACAAGAAACAAGATTTTTCAAAAAACCTTCAAAATGGCCACCAGAAAACAAGATGGCCGCCCAAAAGTTAATCAGCTCTAGTACTTGATATCCTCTATCATTTGTGTAAAGGACCTTATACACCCTCCATTGGGATCTCCCCATGGGAAAAAAATAATTCATCTGATTTTTCAAAATGAGTTTTCTGCCTCAATTATTACATTTATATGCACACTAGTATCTTGTTGACCTATATTCAGCACTGTATTGATGTATAGGCCACTTATTAGGGTCATAATTCAATCATGAAGTGTAGAGGCATAGATTCCAAACCAGGAAGTATTTTTGTGTCTGTCAAAATCCATTTAGATCCTACGCATCCCTGCATCTTATCTAAATATGTTACTACATAATGAAATATAATAGTATAATATTTGGTTTTACAAACTTGTATGATATTTGATAAGTGTAAAAGTTGTTTTTGGAGCATTTTTCTATAGCCATTTTGTAGGGGAAAAAATGATGAAAAAATGTACAATCTTTTAATTTTAAGTATGACCTGAATCGATTGCAAACTTCATATTTGCACATTTGATGAGATAAACCATTTGTGTCGTATTGTGAAATTATTAAGTTTGCAATCGATTCAGGTCATAGTGTATTTTTGATATTTCTGTGATAATCAATGGAAACCAATGGCCTCTATTGGGATCTGCTGATATCCTCATGTTAAGTCAATGGTGCACAGCCCCATGTAAGTCAATACAACCTTACTGAACGAAATGATTCCTATCTCAGCTTATGTGTGTCCGAGCACTTTAATATTTTCCAAAGTATTATATGACATGTTATTCTTCATGTTACACCTACGAATGATTCATTTTGACTATAGGGATATTTGCCATTAATTGCACCTTGTCCTTTGAAGAAAATCCGATGAGCGGTTTTCCTGAAATGGCGATGACAAGATTTTTCGAAAAACCTTCAAAATGGCCACCAGAAAACAAGATGGCCACCCAAAAGTTAATCAGCTCTAGTACTTGATATCCTCTATCATGTGTGTAAATTTGAAGGAAATCCGATGAGCGGATTTTCTGAAATGGCGATGACAAGATTTTTCGAAAAATCTTCAAAATGGCTGCCAGAAAACAAGATGGCCACCCAAAAGTTAATCAGCTCTAGTACTTGATATCCTCTATCATTTGTGTAAATTTGAAGGAAATCCAATGAGCGGTTTT